ATGATAAATTTCTTATTATATTCAATGAGGAGCGTTTAAATTTAAATAAAGGATTATTAAAACGATTAAACGAGCAAATCAGGGTTCTCCGTGCATTTTCAGCAAATTTTATCCTGCAGAGAAATGTGTGTTTGTATGCGAGTGTACGTCGGTCGAAGTTAATGATATTGTTTGTAGGTGCTCGCGTAACGAGCGAAAAGTTTCTTTCTTCCACGCCGTTTCGAACGTAGCGTCGAGCGTGAAACACTAATGGGAAGAAACATAGACTCTAATCGGATCTCGTAGACTCTATCAATGTAGCCTTTCTTTTTGCTGCCTTTCTTTTAGGCGCAAGAAATAATCTAAAAAAAAAGTTAAGACATTTTGACAATGCCTATATTAATTTTTACGGTGCTAACTATATTCGTATATTTAGGAAGGTTCATCGAATACTGATTGTGAGTAAAGGTCGCGCATATTTGATCTTTCTGTTACCAACTACAGAAAAAATCTAGACACTAAGCGAAACGATAATAATTACGGTAGTAAAAATGCAGTATTTTTTTTTTGATACGATTTTCTTTTGTCTTTTACACCGAGAACAAGTTTCTTAAAAATAGGAACAGGATATAGAAATTGAGGCTTTATCGTAAAGAACTTTCGTGAAAGTAAATTACGAAACAAATATAATAGTTTTTAGGAAAAAAATCAAATTACGTAAAATATTGCAATTTGCAACAAGTTATAGAAAGTATCAGAAGTGCACTGTGAAGCAACATTGCTTTACAGTCTGTTATGATGGCTTCGTTATACGGAACAATAAATTCACAGCTTTGGTAAATAAAAAGTTTACGCGGTTTTGTAGTGAACGTCATACGCATCTAACACGCGATGAAAACATCGTGCATATTTTCCACGAAATTTATACATTCAATACCATTAAACATTTTCATTTGAATTGCATATGACGTTAGAAACAAGGAAAAAGGAATAGTTTTTATTGATTATTGATGATATTATTCTAATACGAGAAATTATGGAGCGTGATAAAAGTTTTTCCTGATCTCAATTCGCAATACGTTACATAAAAATAACTTCAATGCAAGCTATCCAAAGATATTCTTTTATCAAGTCGATTTTTAGAGATATTATAAATTTAAGTTTTGTTAAGTTATTGAACGCGATTTTAGAAATAACGAAGTTAATCCCATTTTATGAATTATAAAATGTAAAAAAGGCAAAAAAATTAATATAAAATTATTAAAATTATTATAAAATATTAACAATACTAACTATAAATTTTTTTAACAAGAATGTTCGTGAAAATAAATACTATGTGAAAATACTTCTATAAGATACTTTTAAAGATAGCTTACGTAAAAAGTCTTTATATTTCTTAAAACAGGCTGATAAAAAAAATTCTGACATCCTTGAAAAAAATAATACCCATGCAGTCAGTATAATTCGGGAATGATTTTCAATGTACTAACAAGTTAATATTTTTTTTTATTCATTGTTAATTTTTATTTTATTAATCGTTTACAATTTTTATTATCAATTGCCAAGATTTCAGTTGCAAAGATACTTCGATGACTGCATAAAAATGAATTTCATTTTTGAAATTGTATCACATTTACTAGATTTTGCGTTTCTTACAACACAACCAGTTTTCTGCTACTCTATCTCGTATATCATCGTCGATGACTTTTATTGCAAATTTCTACTGCTTTACTACAAGTTTTCACGACATTTCGTACGGTTGCTTCATCCGAAGGAATCGAGCTGAGGAAAAGTCATTTTATGCATATGCACGTTCGCGAGAAGTATCTTGCACCATTATTTTTGCACCAATGTTTGCGCCCGATGTCGTAATTTGAGACGGCGGATTTACGTATGCATTGAGGACCCTTTTAAAGTGTGTCGCGAGATTTGCGTGTGCCCGATAGTCTTCAGTCGCGGGGCCATGACAGTCTCCGGACATAGCAGATGAAAGTGTCGTCACATCGTCACTGTCAGCGCGACGTTTTTCTTTCGATCAACAGGCAAAAAAAAAACAATTTAACTAGTCACATTAATACGTGTCAGAGTAAATTAAAACCAAGGCGAGAAAACTTGAAGTATTTTTGCAGACAAGTTAAGTTGTAAATCTTCTCATTAACATCTCAAGGTGCACTCGTGTCACGTACAAAGTTTTATCCCTTTTTTTTGTTAGCGACGCATTTATATGTATAATTAGATGATAAATTTCTTATTATATATTCTTATTATTCAATGAGGAGCGTTTAAATTTAAATAAAGGATTATTAAAACAATTAAACGAGCAAATCAAGTTCTCCGTGTATTTTTAGCAATTTTTTCTTTTAGAAAAAAAATTGTTTTAGTATTGACAAACGAGATTGTGCAGATCGAGTTGAAATCGGCGGCTCTTTTCTTACGGCGCAATTGGAAAATACCATCGCCGATCTCTTTGCGATCCGCTGCAACTCGCTGCTTGAAATAAGTGCTCGGCTGCTTACCCGTAGATTGGCTTACTACCCATTTCAGATATCGGAGGTGAATGATCACCAGGTTGCAACCGGAATGAAGCAATCTCTCTACGCGTGCATTGAAGTCCTTGCAGTATATCGTGCATAACGAAATTTTTAACCCTATTGAGAAATCGCGTCGGCATATCTGGATTACATTAACCTGATTCCCTTGAGAAAATCTTCCGAATTATACTCGCTGCGTGGGTATAATTTTTTTCAAGGATTTCAGATTTTTTTTTTTTCTTTTAGCAGTCTGTTTTAAGAAATATAAAGACTTTTTACGCAAGCTATATCTTTGAAAGTATCTTATAAAAGTATTTCAACATCGTATGTATTTCCACAAATATTCTTGTTAAGAAAATTTATAATTACTAATTAGTATGATGTTTTGTAATTAAACTTGTTTCTCTTTTCAATATTTTAGGATGGGGCAGGTCTGGCAAAAATGTTTTCATTACATAAAAAAATAACTGCTTTATTCGATTTCCCATCTTGTACGCGATTTTTTTTTTATGTGATTTTTGACGTAAGAATTGATATTAATATATCAATTTTTATTAATATTAATATATTATTAATGTTAATATTTTTATTAATATCATTATATATTAATTTTTACATCAAAAATCCTCATTAAATAAAAATCTAGTTTTTGCTTTTTTGTTTCATCAAGAAAACGAAATATAGATTGCTTATGTGAATTTCAAAAGAAGTTGTTCGCACGATTAAATTTACTGCATGCCTCCGACTGATCATGAATGTCAATATAATCCACCAACTATATTTATGTGCATGCTTGGACATAATTAAATTGTCAATTTGTCAACTAAATATTTCCAATAAATCTTTTATATTAATGAGATAACTATTATGACGCTACTACGTTGATATACACAGTCTATATCAAAAGTATCCGACCACATTATTTAAAGAAGCCAATTTCTCATGATGTGTGTGTGTGTGTGTGTGATTTTTGATTTTAAAATTTTAATACCTTTTGAGACCATAAATCTATTCTTTGTAGTTGAGCTAGTGTACACTCGTTGTATTTAAAGTAAAATAAATATATACCTATTTGTCGTTTGGCGAAAGCGAGATAGAAAGTTTTAGTCCAGTGTAGCGACAAAGAATAGGTCTCATGGTGTTCGCTCGTTCCATTATTTTTCTTGACGAACATCAAAAACGTACTATCACTTTTGGTGTCACAGCAAATAAATAATATATGTAGAGAAGAAAATATAATTTTACAGTTGGAAATAAAATTTCAAAAAAATAATCTCTATTTTAACAGATAACCTTTAGTCACATATATAGCCTTGTAGGGGAAAAGTTCGGAAACTTTGAGGATAGACTGTGTATGTTGTATTATTTACGTGATATATTTATATCTTTATCGACTTGGTAGACGTTTCCGGACTGAATCTGAACACGCATATTTGTTGAAATTATATATGGAAATACATATATGTATAGTGAGCTTTATCGCATACACTATTATCGTATCATTTTTACGTGTGAATTAAACAGAAGATAATGTGCAGAAACTTGTGAATAATAAATGCGCGTTCTGTTCAAAACTATGCAACATAGACGTAACATTCTTTTCGCATTCTTTAAACACTGTAGCATAACATTTTTTTCTTTAGTTCGATATATTAGATGTTATGTCTGATGTCAGAATGAAATTTTAATGATTATCGATGTTTACTCATTTCTCACAAAGATTCACGAAGAAATATCTCTAGACAAAAAATTTTAATCTTTCAAACAACCCTGTCATTTATCTTTAAAAGAAATTAAAAGCGATAGCTTTGTTAGTCTGCAAGTATTAATCATACTCATTTCGAATGATTAATATTAACTTATGGAATCATTGAACTTTCGCAATTTACTGGAACTCGAGACAATAAGAATGGATATATTTTGGATATATTTTATTGTAAATATATATATTGTAGATAGATGTAGCTTTTAAAAAATTATAAAATATTATCTCGTTCATCTATTTTATCTTTTCTAGTAATTATACGTATGCATCCGTCGCAGATTTTAGAAAAGATAATATTCGCATTGCTCGTAAATAAAATTAAATACAGAATATATTTTTTGTCTTTATACATATTTATGTTGTTCGACAAATAGTACATATAAATTTTCCGATAAATAATAATATTTATTAAAAATTAATATTAAAATTAGTTTAATAAATGTAAAAGATTTTAAAATTCATTTGCTTATTATTTATAATTGCGCAAGATAACTCGCATTACAAACAGGAAAAAATCAATTCAAGAAGAATCATTAACGTCAATGTTTTAAGATTCATATACTTTTTTAATTTTATATTATAACCGTGATAAATAATGTTTTAATATGTTAATAAGGTTCTGTGCTTGATTTATGATGTTTTAAGACTGTACAAGAACGAACTATATGAATACCAATTCAAGTATTATAAATATCACTTTTTTTATACAAAAAAATCTATCTCATTTCAGTCTGTTATTGTCTAGTGTTTTTCATAAAACTAGTTAAAAGAATATGATAAAATAATGCGCTTATATGGTGAAACTTTATTAATTTTTGAGGTTTTTACGAGAGCAAGATTAAGAGAAAAAGAGAACGAGAGCAAAAGAAAGCAAGAGAACTTCTAAATTTTTTTAGATAATTTATATTTTTGGACTTACCTTCATTAATGCAAATCGCTGATCGTCCGCCAATTTCAACGACATGTTTGCTTTTGTTTGAGCACTGTTAAGAATTTAATCGTAATGTCCTTGCAGTTGTAGCTTATCTCTTTCGCAGCAGATTGTTTCTTAATTTGAAGATCTTCGCGGTTGATCTTTATACCCACGGCTACAGATTAAAGAAGATATATATATAAAATCACTATCTCGTATAACATATATCTAATCGTATTAATTATCTTGAAATTTTTATCAAGATGTGTGTTCACGTGTACAGTTGTACTTTTGTACTCTTGCGATTATTCAGTTACGTGATATTCATAATAATAATTATTGTTATAACAACATTTTGGCATTTAATCACACGAATTTTTGAATCGATAAACTGTGAAGTTTGCATCGATTAACACTAAAGCTTAAGGAAAACGCGCAATTCACGATTACTCCTAAAGTGGATTGTGAAAGTCAATTACTCACATGATTAATTATTTTCTTCCTTAGACTTCAGCTAATCATATTATATGCATATATTCACGGTTAATTCAAAGTGTATTGTGACAACGTTTCAAGGAATAAGATGAATATATATATATATATATATATATATATATATATATTATTGTGCTTTCAATTATAAGAATTATCGACAATCTATTGATTGCTCCAAAACGAATGACTGTAAAACTTGCATTATCATTATGAAATCACATGGTTGAACTGCACCTGTGATTTTTTAATGCATATTGCATATATTCATTGAATATTTGTATAGACGAGAAAATAAATAATTACAGCATTATACAACGCTTATCAATTAAAACGCACGCTAGGTGTAGAATTATTAAATCAACAACGTGCGTCGTATTTGTATTGATTGAGATTAAAGTTTAAAAAATTACGCAACTTATAACTATCTTCTAATCGTTAAGCAAGTAGAATACGAAGGCAAAGTAACTAGTAAGCGCATGATTAATTATTTTGTTTTTTGAACTTTGCAGTTTATAAAACATGATGTATGCATAAACTGAATTTATTCAAAGTGGTTCCATCGTGCCAATCAATAAGACATGAATGTAAATGTGCAATGTATTACTGTTCCTTCATGACAACTATTGATTGTTTCAAAACGAATGGCTAATGTCACACTATATACGTTTTATTATTAGATTACGTAATTAAACTGCAATGTTGTGATTTTCATTGATTATTATTATATTTGAATGCGCGAGGAAATTAAGTTTTCTAGAACTCCGTTTAATTGTATTTTAAGTTCGTGCTCAGTTCTAGATATACGAACTTACAGTCGCGAGCATTTATTTCCCGAAGCATTTATTACCCGAATAAAGTACGTATTGTTATATCAAATAATCGATTTCAATAATCGATTTTCTTTTGAACGTTAGTTCCTATGCAACATTTGTGCAACAAGTAACAGTGAATGCATTCGCCTTCGATGTTCGTAGATATGAACCCATCATTATCCTAATCATTCGAAACTGTTTTGTCCTCGATAAAATTTCCGGCTAAACGGAATTTGCAGTAAAAAACTCCGTTCTAAAGAATAAATTATATTTTGTAGAATTTGAACTAAAATTATCACTAACAATTATCATTATTTTTACGATTTCCATCAATCTATAAATGAAACAACATCTAATCACAATATTTAGAAACAATATAATATCTAAAAAAAGGGTGATATTCTATGTACATTCTAAGTACATTCTAGTTAGAAATAATTAGCTAGAAATAATTATCGAATCTACGTCGAGCAACGATAACTCTAATTCATTGACGTCAATTCGACTAATTATTTCTAGTTGAGTAGATATTAAGACAATCTTTCGTGTCATTACACGGAAAGAACGATTTTGCGGGAAGGTCTAAAAATTTTGCTAGATCATAATTAATTTTGTTGGACTGTCAAAAGAATGTTGGAAATTCGAACTGTTAGAATATCAAAACGTTTTTGTAGCAATGCTCATCATTTTTGAGTTTTCCAACAAAGTTACTTTGATGATCCGAAATTATTTTCAAATCTGTACCCAGCAAAATCGTTCTTTCCGTGATTGTGACATTATCACTTGTCAAATTATAGCGCGTGAATAAGATTTGCAAAGTAGTTAATCGATATAATATTTTAGAAGACACACATCCCGTCTTTTACACACGTAATTTTCGTAAATCTTTTTCCTGCGGGTCTATATTACTCGAGTTGCCGTTCACAAGCGCGTTCTTAACGCTTACCGAAAACACCGGTGGCAAAAGTGCTCGCTAAAAATCAAAAGTTGTATCGGAAATCGCGAGGTCAGTTCTCGAAGATATCGGAGATCGGTCGAGATCGGTGATACTTTATTCACTCGGCGCACATGAATCCCGGGGGACCACCACCTCGGACCCGCGATCGCGACTGCTCGGCGTCGACTGTGCTCAGGTCGATGCCGCAACAGGTGTCTTGTCCGCGCGGCGACCGCGATTGCCGCGTGTGTGCGTTCGCCCGCTCGCGCGCGCGTCCGCCCGCTCGTGCTTCTATACGTCCACACGCGTCTCCCTTTACTCGATCGCGCTCGCGAAGGTGAGATAGGTGTATCCGCGACGTGTATCGCGGGACGAACGGCACCGGAGAAATGGTACCGCCGCGGCTTGCTCTCGACGATGGCAAGTTTCCAAACGCGCCGACCGCCCCACCATCGTGTCTACCCGCCGTCCCCTGCAGCCATCACCTTCGTCGTCGTCGTCGCCGCGATGTTGCGGCGGAGCCTGATGGTGCACCGCGAGAAGAGCCGCGCGCGGTCTCCGGATCGCAAACTCGTTCGACCCGGGCTCCAGTTTCCTGACCCGCGCGATCACCAGTCGCGTTTCGACATCGCGACCGGACGCAGGCACGTAGGACGTTAAGCGTCTATCATACCGTCATCACTACCACCACCATCACCATACCACCGTCGTCGTCACCGTAGAATGAGGTCCATGCGGCCGGTGCGACGCGAGTGCACCGTGTTCTGGCGACGATGCAGCGCCGAGTCCGAGCTCGGCGTGTGCGCGGCGTTCCGTGAGTAAGCCGCCGTCTCTTGATGAAGAACGCCTCCTCCTCATCGTAGCGCGTGTCCCAATCTCTGAACCATTCCTCAGGAATGAACGACGTCGATGCTTCCTGATCTATTTATTATGAGCGTACTCTGTACTAATATCCCCTGTGCGATGTGAGGCAATAATGAATTTCGCGCATTTTTATTGTCTGGCTCGCTACTAATTTGAGAAATTACGAGTGTTTTTTGTCGCGCTTTAGAATGCCGTATATCAGAGAGTTCATCTTGAGGATTTATAGTCTGCAGCATTCAGTGCTGTAAATGCTATCGCGTTTTAATTTAATTTGTTTGTTTATTTCATATTTGAACTCATCCGCAATCGCGAATCGCGCGAGTTCTTAAGTTTATCATGCCAAAACCATTATTTTTTAGCTCCGACTTTCATGAGCGCGGGCATTTAAAAGTCTCCCGTTTGCCAATCTTTAATCCGAGAGGTCATCGTAAAAAAAAAGAAACGTATTAAATTTTTATGATTGTAAATTGATCTTTACGTCGGGAGAAATCGTAATGCGATGTGACTTCAAGGTCAGTTTAAATGCCCGAGCGCGGCGATGTAATCGTTTCTCATTTCGTTGCAATCATATAATACGATTCTCTGTAATGGACGATTCAGACCTGATCCGCACATAAGTGGAAATTTTCTAGTCGATTCTACGAAGTAGTAGGCAATCAATTCACGTGCAGCTCTCTATCGCGCTTTTACTGGTGACGTGAATTGCGTCGTGAGCACGAGCGAAACGAGACACCACTATATACGTTTCATTAACTCGGCGACGATCGAAATTTCCCCGAACGTGGCATGTTTACTAGATTAGATTGACACGTGACAGACAAAGAAAAGTAAAACTAAAAGTAAAACTCACGATCGCCTATATCGATCAACCGAGGCTTGTACGTAGAATACAGCTGATTGCGCTTGATCGTATACTGGCGGAACCAGCAAGTCATTGCTATCGTATTCTTTCAGTAGATTGCAGCGAGTTCCTTTGTTAATTTTCTTCTTTTTTTTGTTGATTGTATCGTGAACTAAAGTATCGTATTACGCGAGATAAAAATACGAAATCTCTTTTTTTTCGTCAACGTCAAATGAAGAAACGTTCTTGTGTCACGTGAGTTAAAAAACACAAATACACAGCACGATACATTGCAAAAAAAGAAGATGTATTTTTTCCGTTTTCTTTCGAGCCAAACTTTAATTCTCTAATTCGTACATACATGCGGAGTCATTAATGATTCAACACATGAATTTAGAGTCAAAGGTGCACATACACATTTCCCGTGTATGTGTATATACGTACATACACACTTTGATAAGTGTCAAGTTCACGTGTTAACTAAAACTACTGTGTTGCATAACACATTGCGAAAAAAAAAGAAGATTAAACCATTTATCTTCTTATTTTATATTTGTTTTTCAGTTCAAAGCTTGATATATTACAATCTACATACACGGAAAGAACGATTTTGCTGGAAGGTCTAAAAATTTTGCTAAACAGATCTGAAAATAATTCTTGTTCAATCATCAAAATAATTTTGTTGGAAAGTCAAAAATGATAAGCATTTTTAACTTTCCAACAAAATTCTTTTGATATTCTAGCAATCAGTTTGACTTTCTAACAAAATTATTTTGATTGTATAACAAAAATTATTTTTAGATTTGAATTCAGCAAAATCGTTCTTTCCGTGTATGTACAGAATCATTGATGCTACGTTCACAACACATTACGTAAAAAGATAAAAACACTTATATTTATTAATAGTTTAGCGAAACTTGATTATAATCCATCATTCCATATATACATACAGATGAATCATTAATGGTTTAGCGCATGAGTTTAGATGCATATCCAAACATATACACACTTCCTACATACGTGCCAAAATTCATATGTTAAATATTAATAACATTTTTTTGTATATCCAGACAGCACAAAAAGATCAAAAAGAACTTTGTAGTCGTGTCATCAATTTTGAGGATCATTTTCAGATGCAAAATAAATTCTTTTTCTAAAAATTATATGAAAAAGAATTCTTTTTGACACCTGAAAATTATCTCAGAATTGATGACATATAATTGAATATACGATTGAATACTTTTTGAACTCTGTGTACTGTCTGGGTATATACACTTCACAAATTTCGAAATTCAGAGAGCCCGGTGGAACCGCTGTTAACATTTATTAATATTTAAATTTGTTATTAACATACTGCGCTTGATTTTAACAGAATAATATTACATAATGTAAAAATTTCTTTTTCAAAATTTGTTTGCATCGACGTGGTACGTGATATTATTTCGTAGAAATTAGTTTACAAACAAGAGATGAAGATGCATGTGATAACGAGCGTACCTACCTAATTGACCTCGTTAATTTGATTTCATCCGTATCCATATATCACTTTCTTTGTCCCGTTTTTTTTTCCGACTGCACAAATCCGTTATTCTCTAACGAGGGCTTGTACCGCAATAACGACGGCGCGTACAACTGGTGGCGTTATCTGTCGGCAAATGCGATCACTTCTTTCACGTTAACTCGGAACGCGCATCATTTGACTTCCGTACATTTCGAATCCGATCACTTGAAATTTTCACGAATAAATGTGTCAAACGCGCTCGGACTCGTAGCAACAAATGATACAATCGAGACGCGAAAATTCAGCCGTTTGCTATTCTCATTTTTTTTTTTTTTAATATAGAACTTCAAGTTACATAAAACGACTATGCAAATGACAAGACATGCCGTATTTAGGTATCATAGAGAACCGCACCGCGAATTTGAAGTCTGTTATATTGTATGTTCGCTTAAATACGATAACACGTTCTGTCCACACGCTCGAGCGTCGTACTTACAGGGTCATTAATGCTTCAACACGTGACTTTGTGTACATATCGGAACATATGTGCGTATAATATTCTCCATGTAGTACATTTCAATAAGTGCCTAAATTTTACTTGCTAAAACACCAATGACTCCGCGTGTATATGTACACTTATGAGAACTCGACGAAACTTTATTAATTATTTAATAATCACTTGGTTAGATTAAATCTAAGTGATTATTGACTAGTGAAATAGTTACTTGATTATATTAATCTAACCAAGTGATTGTTTCAGCCGATATAATTGCATCAAAATGTTTAACTTCATAATTCGTCGAATCTGATATATCCTTCTTTTCACGTGTCAAACAATAAAAACTATCGACAATTATAATAATCTACTTTAATGAAATAATGCAGCATATGTTATTCGATGAGTTAATCATCGAGTAATGATACCTGCATTATTTTATATTATGAATGTAATTATTAATATTTTATTGGTTACGGAATAACACTGCTTACAGATCAGGAATACCACGAATTGTACAGTTAAAAATTTTGCTTCAATATATTCACTGCCGTGTCATACGTGTCATTCATACAATATGTGATTCATACTCCTTATTTTCGAGAGCGTCTTGTCATTCAAATATGAATGACATCAAATTCTCAGGAGAATTGATGCCTCGTGAAAGAAGAACCCATTCAACGGTGTTTTGTAAAGAAAATAATGAAAGGAGGTGAATTCGAGATTCTCAGGAAATTCATATTCATTTTATATGAAATTGAGTATCATGTATAATGTATGTACGAATGTATCACATATAAATACCGTGGCGGTCGACGTGTCATTAAGTAATTCTGTCGATTGAATTAATCGAACTTTCGCTTATGACATGATCTTTATCGAAAAGATGTATAGAATATTGTCAATCTTTATTTAATTGCAAATCGTCGAAAAAGTCAATGAAAATTGAGATATAACGTTGGGGCGTAAACTAATATCTCCCGCGCGAGTAATTGCGTTAAAAAAAAAATCACGCAAGCAATGTGGACTTAATCGCTAATTAAATTCATTGGAATTCGGTTTGAGTTATTTTAATATGTCGCTTCGAGTTGCAAAATCTCAAGCAACAAGTCATCGTGACATCAAAATGATTTAATAAAAGTCACCTTTCGATCGGTTATGAGTCATTTTGACGATACAGTGACCTGCTGTTCTGCTTGGGACTCCACCGTCGTATGACAGATGACAGATAGTACACAACGCTATAGCGCGCCACTGCAAGTGCCGCATCCATCTATATACTCGGCGAGTTCGGAGGGTGATCGGGGGGAGTTGCGGCGAGGAAGGTCGCGACGCGACCGGAACGTGACGCGTCGATCAGTGGCAGTGGCCTCGACGTGGTGCGAGACTTGCGAGAGTGGTTCCTTCCCACAGTTTTCGCGAGCCTCCAAGTCGCGTCGTGGCGAGATCGAGAGGCGCCTCGCCCGTGCGGGGCGGATCACGCGACGAACGCGAAGCATGCGAATCGGGCGATCGTGTCCCTGCATCGGCAGCATCGGCACCGTCGAACGTCGTCGTATCCCCCGCGACGAAGGAGCG